GCGCGCGGAAAGGTCAGATGTCAATAGTCATGCTATTAAAAATGTTAACGATGCTTGTTTCTCACCTCGGTTATTTTATATACTTTAGCATTCTTCATATTGCAGACATATAGTTACATTAATTTTATATACAACAGCATATATTTCTTAGAGCCTTGTCATGGTGAAAACTTTGATATTCATCAACGTCATGTTCATATATTCATTTTTATTAATCATGCAACTTTTTCTTCTTATTCCTCTTGATGTATTTTAAAAAACTTATTTTTTCCAAAAATGTAACAGAGACGAAGATAATTATAAAAGAATCATAGACACCGAACGCGCGCGCGTCTAGTATTATTACGTGGGATACTTTGTGGTTTATATAGGAAGATTCAATAAAGATTTATGGATCTTGAAGACTGATGAGCACGTTGAATCGGAAAGGTAACTTTTCGGCCGGTCAAGCCTGGTTGTTATGATTCGATTTTAATGCCGAGTTCACCGACGCGGATAATTGTCGCCATTACCTGCACGAGAGGGCACATTTACTGTCGTTCATTGGAGAGAACTCGGGACGGTCTTGCTTCAACCTTCCGTGTAAACGGGATCCTCGTTTGTCGGTAGCAGACAGAAAGGAACGGAGAGAAAAGTAAGGATAAACACGTGTCCATTTCCGAGCAGAAGGATAAAACGCGAAGAAATTATGAAAGTGGCAGATAAATCAATGAAAATGCACGCGCAACGTTAATAGTAACATTGCATTCGGTTGTTAAACTAATCGAAAAATTTGCAATATTACTAAGTGTAGTGAGGATATAAGATCGATATTCATGGTCGATTTTGGCTGTCCTAAACATTACATATATATATCATCTCACGGTCTTAAAAAATGTGATGAACCAATAAACTCAGACAGTCGCATTAGCATCTTAAAATATAATTTAAGACGGTGTTATAATTAAAAACTGACTACGAACATAAGGAGCAGGAATTTAATGGAGAAAATAATGAATGTATAAAGTCGACGAAGGCGAAATGTGAATTAAAACGAAAGCGGAGATTGCGAAAATCTACGGGTCTGCGAAGCGCATAGAGCCCGACCGCGCGTGATTGTTCCGCGTGGATCCACGACGGATCGGCATATTTTGCGGGCCGGTTCCGACGCGAAGCGGCGGCACGTATCTTTTTATCGTAGCCGCAACGGTAGCGGGGGCCCTATCGAATGTTTCCAATTTTCTGTTGGCGCTCCTGAAGGGAGAGACCCGACCAAGTCCGTCATACGGGATTCTCTCTTGTACGAGAAAGCGGGATGAACCGCGACGGAAGGATCGCAGAATGGACGGGCGGAAGGGAGAACGCGAGAACGAAACGCGGGTACGAAAGAAAGAAGAGCATAGAAACGGGGAAACGGGGCGGGAGGGCAGGAGGAAAAGGAGAAGGAGGAAGGCGAGCGCGTCCAACGCGGACATTCGTCACACGACATCAAACGCGGGTGCCGCCCGTTGGAGACTCGACCGACCGACTCTAAAGACCCCGGTCGATCAGCCATGAAGAGCAGACTGACGAGGAATTGCAAAAAAATCGGGAAAAATTAAGGGTGGATCAAAAACAGCCTAGTCGTCCAACATTGTGCACAACTTGGTTGCTATTCTTTATCGTCTTTATCGTCCTTGTCCTCGATTATGACGTTTATTTCATCAAAGCTAAACGAATGTACGTGTGTGTCTTCATTAATATCTCGTCGTGCTGCGTTAATTATAGCTTGGCACATGCCGTTGCTTTAATATCTTTATCTCTGACGCGGTTCTCGCGACGGTTACGGTTCACTTTTTGTTTAAAAGGTGCGAATAAAACGTGCGAATTGCGAATCGAACAAAAATGTAATCTGCCTCGTCAAGCTGCGTCAAGAATTTCGAACGTTCATTTCAAGTCGCAATTTACAGTTGAGCTTCGAAAGCTACAACATTCACGGCACATGGCGCAACCAAAACCGAATACAATGACTACTTGGAAGAGAGATCCATTTGCGACGAAGAAAGATCGATTAATCATGACGTGTAACGTGCTCATAAAAGCGCGCAAACAAACCGGATGGTGGAAAGGGAATGGTAGGGAGAGCGAAAGTGACATAAAAGAAAAGAGTAAGACGATCGACCTCGCGCGACGTAATGTCGTTGATCTCCTTCGGTCAACCGGATCGGCCGAAAAAAAAGGTAGTGATATAATGTAGATACGTGGCAAGATATATTAACTTTGTACTCCGACGACCTTGAATTATTGCACGAATGATGACGGAGCGGTAGCTGATATCTCGCGAGACACTCGATCACCGATCTACGCCGCAAGTCATCCTGATCATTGTGCGTGCCATGGTGCTGGACCGGTAGCAAAATCAAGGACTAACCTTGCCTGAAACGCTTTAATCCAGTCTATCCGCCGCGAATAGAATATCTGACAATTCCGATATATCGTCTGATATCATAAGACAGGTCTGAAGTCCGAGTTTTCATTTGCTGATTAACTTATAATTAGACTGATAATCATATAAAAATTGTATTTTTCATCTATGATTAATCAGTAATTAACTGATAACTTTGTGAATAACTTTTCAAGTTACCATTAGTTTAGATTAACCATAGTAAAAAAAAACACAAATTTTTACATTATCATAGTGAGATTAAGTTTAAACCATAAGTTAACCAAATAATGGACCCAAGAAGAGTGGAAAAATTCAATTTCTACCTCTTCGAATTAATTGTACTTTTGCAGCTTCTTTAGAAAAATTAGATCAAAGGAAATAAAATTTCCTGGAGTTTCAACTATTTTTCTACGTACATGTATCCTGAAATTAAGTAACTTCGACAATTGCAAAATAAACAACGTATAACAATCGGCCGACAAAAAGCAGTCTTTCCTAAGCGATATGATTTAAGTACGAGTACAGCCGATCGGAACAACCTAACTCCGGTTTATGCGATTATGCTTTTGAGTCGCATTAAGTTCATCGTCCGGGAACGAGCGGATTTTACGACAGAAGATTTCGCGAAACAATCTCGTTCTCGAGGGAGCTTCTTGCACATCGGGAATTAGCCCACGGTTATTCGCATAACCGCAAATAATTACCCGCCCGTTATGTACTTTTCAGTCACGTTATGGTTAACGATAGTTAAAAGCAGCTAGACGTGCCTCGGGATTTATCACCGTCGTTATATTCTGACCACGGGAATCGACAATTCCTTGCTATTTCATACAGTATAGAATTCCGGGGGCATCAACTACGAGATCCGTGTGAGAACAAAACGTACAGTGAGAGTCAAACGTTTGTATTATGACCGATTCAATGAGGTTTATATATATAATTCGCTTTTAAAATGTCTTACGACGTCGTACGATGCTCTGACGCCATTGGTCCCTGTCCTCCCTCCTGCAGCTCCCTTGCACTCATCACTCTTCGATAAGATTTAAATTGCTAAAAAAAAAAGCAGAATGATAAACTATTTGTCGTAAAATTTTGTCACGTCGACGGTAATCAGCGGGATGGGATGCGGGAAGAAATTTTTCTGAAAACCGCAAAACCCATTGGAGCGTTTCAATCGGTAGAAACGTCGGCAGGTTGACTAAACTGGATTCTCCGAGGCAAGATAGCAATTAGAATTCGCAGCTAGTGCAACCGCAACCGGTGAACCAGTCCAGCGAGGAGGCCACATCTCCTTCTCTTCCTCTCTTTCTCTCTTTCTCCCCCCTGTCCTCTTTGTTCTTCCCGAACGTAGAATAGCGCGACTTGGGTTAACGGTTTTGAGACTCTGTCTCTGTGCTGAACGTTTGCTGACTTAGCTCACCAATTGCTTTCATAAAGTCAGTCGACTGTGAACCGAGGAATGTATTGGAATCCTGAAATTATTCCGCCGAACGAGAGAGCATTGAGAATTTTTCTCCGCGCGACGCCGTTCCGCAGACGGCTGCTCTCGGCAAAAACCCGCGAGGGTTGGACAGCGTTCCGCACGAAGAGTGCGAAAACAATGTGGCACGGATAAACGTATGGTCGCGATATCATTGTCACAAGTTTCTCACGTATATAAATCAAATCGGATACGTGACACTGACTAGCAATGCAGCAAGTTAACAACTAGCAGTTCCGTAAATTATAGAAGTAAACTTTCTTACAATTTATTTATAGCTAAGAGTACGAAATAAACGTAAAATTTTTCATTAAACATTTATTTGCATTTACACGTAGGCGGAATTAATACCGATTCGTCGGAGTATAAACTTGCGGATAAGCTACAATTTCTAACGACTTCACTCTCCCGAGGCTAAGAGGGCTACAATTAACACTTCTAATCTCAAATAAGGCATTTTCGGTTAATCCCGGCGTGAAAACGCCGGTCTTGGCGTCGTTATCTGGGAAGCCATTGCCGGTCCCGGTTACTTATCCATTGTCTCGAACTTAAGGGAAACAGTGGCTAGATCTTAAATCTAAATTGCATCTGTTTGTCACTGTCCGCTAGTCAGGCGGAACAAACGTATCGTTGTAACGACAATCAAGACATCGTGAGCGGACCATCGAGGCGCCGCGTTGGATCGTAAAACATTAAACACGATAAAGTAGAATCCTAAGTACTTCTATTTAACGAAGAGATCTATATGCATCAATGTATGCCATTATTGCGAATGTATTGCACGTGAAAGCAGATTTATAACATAAACTTCACGAGTGCACGCTTGATTGATCTCGAGGACGCTCAGAGACATTTGCGTGCTATATCCTTGAATTCTTATAATTATATGGATAATTTTAGAAAAAAGATTTTCAAAAATTCGCAATTTAGTTTTCTTCATTTCGGTGGCAATCGTTTCATCATATATCATACAACTTTTATTTTTCTCGATTTAATCTATTTAATTAATTTGTAATATCTCTTTATATCATTTGTAAGATATAAAAAAATAAATAAAAGATTTTATAGAAAAATAAAAAAAAAGCAAAATATAGCATGATTTAAATCGAAACTAACCTTTAATGTAAGTAGAGCTCCAGGAAATATCCCGAGTGTCGCCAAGCTCAGGCTATCATCAATGAGTTCGTGTTCTCCTAGCATTATATGTTGATCGTATGGTCCAGCCCCACAAATTTGCATTGTCTGAAAGGAAATGAAGTTTTCTTATCTAAGGATGGGAACACAGAGTCTTGCATAACGCATAACAAATAATGCATAAGAAAGTGAACCAATCAAAGTTCTTCACTTCCTTCCTTTCCATAAAATAAAAGACTCTGATCGATTGATTTTTTTACGCTTTATGCGTTATGCAAAAATCTGTGCTTCGGCTTTTATTCATTTATACAATCAAATCGAGTTATAACCAAAAAAACGATTTCATTAGTTTTTCGATTTCTAACATGCATCGATCAATCATAATATAATTAAACCTTTTCAGAAAAATAAACTTTTGTTTAAAAAACTAATAACACGTATGCTTCTGTATTTCCCGTCAGGATTGGCTACGCCCGAGGACATCTAAAATGTATTTCAATACACGAACGCGAAAGTACTCGTAGAGCGAAGTTTGCGGCCGTGCGGAAAAACTAAGGGGGGCTATTTGAGATTCTAGAAGTGGAAGAGTGCGCGAGACGAGCGTGAGCCCCGGTAATTGCTTAATTTGTGGAACCCGCGTAATGTTGCGTGGAGGGATAGCTTGCGCCGCTGGCCTGTCCTCGGCGTCAGTGCGAGAACGTGTAGCTCGGTTTCTGTTTTACGATCGTCGAGTCGAACTGAACCGAGCCGAGCAAAGAAGAAGTCCAGGAGGAGAAACGAGAGGAGAGGCATCGCGAGGGCGCCGGAAAGCAACTAAGGGGCGGACGTCGTGTATAAAAAGACGATTATGAGCACACGCACGATTGCTCGCGTATACTTGGGCATACAACAATCACTTTTCGTCAAATTATTCCTTGCTGAGAAGTAGAGCGATAAACGATTAAAATAGGAGTGCACACGAGAAATATATGAATGGGTGAATGATGTAAGAATAAAGTTTGTAAGCTAAAAAAAGTCTCCTTCTTCGCTTTATATAAAGAGAATAAATTCTACTCTGTAATTATTCCCTACTGAAATAAACGGAGGCATACGTCGTGGCGGATATTATTGTCGCTAGATCTTGTCCAAGATCGAGAGTGTACGTTACATCAAAACCAATCCTCATATGTCGTAAATGTCTGCCGGACTTCATACAAGAGAGAAGAGAACGACGAGAACGAGGAGAACAAGAAGAGGTGGTCAGGGTCAAAGAACCTCGAGGCTTCCTCGTTAAAGGAAGGCGCTCAACGAGCGCGATAAATAGAGGTGGGTTTAACAAGGTTGCGAAGTGGCGGCAGAAGGCCAAATTGCTTCGGGGTTGAGGAACTTTTGATATTTACGGATCCTGATAGCCGCGTCGCGTTGCGTCACTTGTCGGGAGCCGAAACCGCGACAAATTACCTAGTGGATATAATCTCGATGTCTGTAATTGATAACGTGAGCTTTCTAGCATCAAACGACCTCCTCTCTCTTTTCAACGACTTTGTACAATTTGCTTTCCAATCTATCCGTGAAAAATCCGGCGCGGCCGTTCGGCCACGTTTTTATCGGCCGTCATTTTTCCGCGAACGAGCTATCCGCGTGGACGAACGTTTTTTCGTCCCGATGCCATTGCGTCCGTGCCGCAATGAGAGTAAGAAAGGCGATCGAGCGGTACCGAGGGAAAAAAAATGGAACTGGTGACACGGAATGTGCTGGAAAGTAATATTTACAGACGGTCACTTCGTAGGCGTTACACCGCGCGATTACGTAAAGCTTGCCCGCGCGCTGGCGAAGATCAACGGCGGCCGCTATTGTCCCGATTTGCTTGCCCGCTCTCTCTCTCTCTCTCTCTAGCTCCGCGACATAACTGCATTCGACCATGAAACTCAAACATTTTTATTGACGGTCTTTTTGCACAAAGGTAAAAAAGACAACGAGCGCGCGGCGTGACTCGCTCGCATTTTTGTCAAACGCGAGAACCAATCCGCGAACAGTGACACCCTTGAATCGTGACGCCGTGAGATTTTCTAATGGAACAAAAACGTCTTTTATGCGCTTTCAAAATGTATCATTTTTTCCTTAACATTACTGATAAAATTTCATTCTCACCAGTTGTAGTAGCTAAAGTATGATTTCGGTTGATCGAATGATTTATTTTGATCGTTGACTTTCAAGCGAGAGACGAAATCAAGTCGAAAGACACAGTTATAAAAAAAAAAGAAGCGACAGTGAATGAGAAGGAGTGACCGGGTTTCGGTATTTCTATTGACGCCGACAGCCTCTCTCGCGGGTGGATATTAAAAGGGAGACGTGTGTTTCACGGGGTGAAAGAGACACGAACAAAAATTCGAGCCCGAAGGAGAGCTCAGTGAATAGATAGAGGAGTATCGCGCGTGAGACAGAGAGAGATATGCAAGATGAAGAGAGATCGAGCAGGGAGAAAGAGTCAAATGGAAGGTTGAGTAGAGCGAAGTGGAGTGAAGTGGAGTGGAGAAGTTGGAGACCTGTTATTAGCACGAGGTTTATGCTCTTTCGGGTTTTTGCCAGTGGCTCCGCCAGAAAGAAGAGGGAGGAAGAGGAGGAGATGGCTATGGCCTCGCAATATAAATACGCTTAATAGTTTAAGCACACTGCCGGAGCCCGAGCATATGCTAACCAGCCATAACTACGCTTTACTACTCTTTCGTCCAGCACGAGTCGGGGAACGGACAACCGGACCGAGATAGCCAGGCCGAGGGGTGGCGGTCGGCTTCGGGCAAACGCAGCTCTTCCCATTTTGGTTCGAACAATAAGACCGCGCCGTAAAATACTTGCGCCGTAAATTGATTGATTATCCCGAGTCCGCTTCTGCAAGTGACGAGCGCAAACAGATCAAGATATCGGATGAACTTTTTCGGATTTCTTTCGCGAGGCTATCTCGCTCAGCAAATAATTGTCCCTGACGATTTTTCTTCAGAGTTTTTGCATTCTTCTGAATTTATATCGGATGCAATTTTCTACAGAACATGTAGATTCAAAATTTATCCAAAATTAGAAATGTATTGCCATAATCAAATCACTCATTTCTCGATGTATTTTATCTTATAAGGTGGTTAAAGATTAAAATCGGCGTTATAGTTAAACATATTAACAAGACACTTACCATTACTTTAAGTTCTTTCAAAGTAATCTCAGAAGACACTTTGAGTTCATGAGATCCTTTTAATTTTCTCCTAGTTCGTGAGGGACGTGCCTTCGTTATCTTCGGTTTTTTTGTCGTTACCTGTGACAAACAACGTTTGAAATATCCGATAAATAAAATACACGTCTAAATAACTCTTCCATAAAAAAAAATATTTGTAGCAATATAAAAATTCTTTGTTTATAAAACTTTAACAATACTCTACTTATTTGTCCTCTTTATCATAAATGTTAAAATAAAAGATATGTAAACACAATAAAATATAACATAAAATGCATTTTTTTCGTAATATAAAAAGTAATCGTGAATCGTAATATAAAATATCCTATTAAAATCTATTAAATATTTTCACGTATAAAAAAATATTAGAAAAGAAAGTTTAGTTAGTCATATATAAGCGCAATTCTCCACAACTATTTCTAAATCAACGTGAATCAAAAGCGAGCTGCGTAAAAGGAAGCAGATAATTCTTAAGGTCACTTTGAACAGAGACGTAATAATACTTATTACATCGTGAAATGCGTGAGATGGCATCAACTCGCCGTTATCGGTTAAAATTAATCTGGAAAGACGACCGCTTCCAGGACACTCGATGACTCAGCACGTCGGCCCATTAACAAAATTCTTTTCTCGTCTGAACGAGCCAGTATAGCTCGTTAATATATACATATATATATATAATGTAAAATTTTCAATTTCTATTAAATATATCGCATATAAAAAAAAGAACATTATCATTTTATTACAATGATAATGAATCGCAATACAAATCATATTATCTCATAAAATATTGTACGTAATTGTATACAATGAACACCGAAGTTACAATCAACCAGTAATATATACCAAATTTTTAAGGGGTTATGCCTACCTGTAAACTTAAAAAAAAAATCGATTTTTGGATTTTGATATTTTCTTAAAGTACATACTTTCAAAAATATTCCCTATAAATTTCAAGTCGATAAAAATTATTGAAGTTATGTGAGTTTAAAGGTATACTGGTTTGAACGTTTGAAGCAGGTATTTTACGTGAAATAACATTTTTTTTTCATTTTATATAGTCCGAACTATTGGGAAAATAGTTCGAATTAGTGGGAAAATGTAGGGGATTTGATTCTAGCTGCTAGGGGTTAGGGGATTCTAAGATATGTTTTAGGAGACGCCTTTCAAAATCACTTGGCAAACTTCAAACGCATTTTTCTCAAAATCGCATTTTTAAAATCGGTGACCAAAATATCTCGAGAACCGCTGCATC